CASAGMRCACWMWAAAAAACAGCGTAAGAGGACGGGGATGTCGTGCTCAAAATATCGCACAGTGATACGATTCAAATCATTTTGTCTGTAGACAACAATCCGATTGTGGCAAGGGCTGAGGGAGGCTATACATACATCTAATTCCTTTACAGTGCCGCACCATCCAAGCATGTTGCCACAGAGAAGTGCTATGGCATTGAAACTGTGTTTTTTTGTCGATAAGATTCTCTGGCATCCGGAAACGGAAAGAACGCACCTGCGATTCGCTGGCCAGAACTGTTCGATGCAAGTACTATTCAATTTTTCCTCCCGATTCTTGACTGTTATGTTCCGATCAACCCAACAGCACATGTTTTTGTGAACTGAATTCTGTTTCTTGCCTCGAAACGAGCATTTCGCTTCGAACGAAACAATGGAAAAATAGAATTGCATGTAACATAGTWCGCCGTGACCTGCCCTCCGCCGACGACACCRATCTTTCCGCGGCCGACTTCGAGATAKCTTCGTGTCGAACGCCTGCCATTCTTCTACGGGCATCCGCTATAAAGGTTGGAACTGATACTTTTGTCCGGAAAGCGACGCCTCGTACATCAGGCCCCCGATCGTACTGGTAAACACTGCCATTCCCTTGGTATACATGAGCGTGTTCGAGGTCTTTGTGATGTTGTACTTCGTGCCCGTGACGTTGGCCTGGACGCCAATGTTGTTGTCGATCGTGCTGACCTTGGCACCGGCACTCGCCGTCAGCGCCACYGCGTTGGCGTCGGCTCCGAACTCGAAGCCGTCGACGACGAATCTCTGGTAGTCTATTTCCCGCTCGAAGAAAATGATCATGRCGTAGACCTGCCCTCCAAACTGGGGCCCGAAGCTGGCCTGGAACATCTTGCTGGTCCCGGTTTTTTCGACACCGTCCTCCTTGCGAACGTAGACGTCGCCCTTGCCGCCGGCGCCTCCGACGACGGCGACTCCGACCTTGGTAATGGTAGGGAAGATGGCATACCCGTAGGCGTTGTCGAGGTAAGGGCCGCAGCTCTCTTGTTTCTTAAATTGCTCCATAKTCGTGGGGGTTGCTGCTGCTAGAAGTGTATTTGGATGTGGTGATCTTGTTTCGTTCACAATTTAGACTGTTTGCTATCCACACTAGAGAACAGTGTCTCGTATTGCGAATTTTTATTTTTTATCTTCGCAAAATTTCGTCGTCCTTCGTCCTCAACCGACGACGCAAGCTACGCTACGCTACGCAACGTCATGTACAGTACCGTGTGTACGTACGTGGTATCTAGCCTACAAGTAGRTGCGAACAGGGGTCAATTCAGTGTCCAGGCTGCGCAGAACGAAAGCGGAAGAAAAACGAACTCCACCATCCAGCCAGTCGTGGGAGATTTCATTGGCTGTTCTGACGGGCACGACTGGTTCGCCATTCTTTCCTTCCGATAGTCTCTCTGACACCTTTGGGGGTACCAGTACGGTACGGTATCAGTACCCGTACCCGTAAACTGAAGCACTAAAACAGGTATTTTAACGAGAAATAACCCCCCCGTAAATCGATCGGTCTTTTGCGACCTTCTATTGGCAGGCTAGCGTKTAATATTGTATACATTTTTTAATACATAATTAATGAATATTTTGATCTTGTTTGAGAATAAAATGATTGATCACGCCAGACGAGCTCAACTTCTCTCGCCAAATGCTTTCGCGATAACGAGAGGAGAAATCGGGATGGGCTGTTACGGTGTGGTCGAAGAGATGAGTTGAAACTATTTCGAAGCACATGTAAAACGCCTCCGTTTTTCTCTTTGTCTTGTGAGAGCGTGACGCGACACTTTGTCACAGGCGGCGCACAACGAAATTCGTGAAACTGAAYCACCGACCAAATCAATTGTTACAAGAACAACAGCGAATGGTTTGATCGTCTCCATCATTTGCGGTTTGGAGAAGCAAAATAGCAATTCTTCACTAACTACTATAAGTTTATTGTCGTGGAGTCGACGCGTACGAAAGCACGGCATTAGAAAAAAGAGGCCGAAGGGAACGTCTATTCATTCTGGAATAATAAGCTTCACGTCGTCATGGGTAACGCTGAATCATCTCCACGAAGCTACCACGGCAATGACGATCTAGAGGGTTCCGGTCTACCTTCCTTTCCGGGATCGACCCTGGTCGAGTCAGCACTCAAGTGCGGGAATATTGACGACGCAGCAGGGGGGGGCTGCGAAGATTACAGCAGCAGAGACCACCCCGGGAGGCGAAAAAAGAAATCACTGGCGGCACAGCTTCTCTCCCGTGCAGAGAACTGTGTCATGTCCCCGCAGAACTCCGAACTGGAAGGGCACAACAGTGACAGCGACGTGGACAACGGAATCAGGCACCCCCACTCATCGTCGAGTGAMAAMGACCCCAAGCATTTCTTTGACGAGGAATACGAAGAATTCGGTCGGGGGCGCGGGGGTGCACCAGGTGCCAAATCAAGCAGCAAAAAAGAGAAGAAGCACTCGAGTGGCACCGCCCAACAGGAAAACAAAGCCTCGTCCTTGTTGGCAAAGTCGTTGATGTCCGAAGTTGAAGATCCAAACTCCATGGCCCCCGATGCAATGACCGATCGCGAGAAGAAATTGTTGAAGGCCCAAGAAAAGGCACGCCAGCACAAAGTGCAGTACGGAATGGGAAGATTTGGCAACGATCTTGGCAAYGACAAGGGTATGGTTCGGCCAATTGGTTCACCCAGCGAAGGGGTTGGGCAACCGAGCGTCCTGGGTAGCATAGCCCATGTCTTGAAGGGAAATTTTAGTGATCCGAACAGTGATGTTGGAGACAAACACGAAGGAAACGATTCCTCTGTTTTTCCGCCAAACAGTTTGTCGGTCAATCATGCCGCCCAAGTCGAGCAGCGCCGAGGAAAAAACATGAAGTCCACGTCGGGCAAACACACAGTAACAATCGGATTGAGTCTTTCCCGAAGATCRTCTTCTCTTGGACACCCCGATACGGTTACTCGCCAAACYGCATTTGATTTCAACGAACTGCAAGATCGGGAATACAAGTACGTTTCCAGTACCGACTCCAGTGGTTGGAGAGCAGGAGGCGGAGAACGAGGTGATAATTGCGAAGATAATGGCAGTTTCATCGGTGACGACGGAAAAAAGAAGAATGGAATGAGCACCCCTGCCAGTACCAGAAGTAGTTCGAATGTTCCTTCCACGCCAAATGGAGAGCAAAGTCACAAGGTTGCAGCTCCCGATACGGTGCACATCCCAATTATTCAGATTGATGCCGAGTCGCCGCAAGTAATCGATGCCATCATATCTGCATTGGCACGCGGAGAAATTTTCATTCCACACATGGCAATCATTCCCGAGGCACTCTCTGTCGACGGAGTGAGTCCACCCGATCTTGTTGTCAGATTTGGAACTGAACGCAATGAAGATTTGCCTCCCGATGAGTGGCCCAATTGGTGTTTGGAATTCATGCACAACCAGCTGTATGAATATTTCCATGAAATGGGTGCTCGATGGGTGAAACGACCCTTTTCAATCACACTAGCCAAGAAGGTACGCTGGAAGACTGTCAAGCACATGAATCGCTATTTCTCACATGCCGAACGTGTGATTGATGCGTGGAGAGAAAAGGGACCGCAGTATCTCGACCCACAGCTYGCATACATCGAAGGTGGGGCTACCCCCGAAGAAGTTGCTCGACCACACGGAATTTATTTGTTCAGGAATGGCGTCCCTACAAACTACTTTGCACCGAACTTCCATCCACCCTACACGACGAAAATGACGCGGTCTCTGCTGTTCAACGTGCTAGGCAAGTCTTGGGATAAGAAACGACGAGAATGGTCGTCGGCACCCATTCCGAAGCTTATCACCCCATCCTTGTTGGTATCAGCAATGTGCGGGTGCGCAGATAACCAAACAAGCGGATTTATSGCCACCGAAGTCACATTGGTGGACGGGTCTTCCGACCGATCTACAGCAGTGCCCGCAGGGGCCGCCGTTCGTTCGTTTACGYCAATGAACAAAACTCCTGAAAAGAATATGTTTGGACCAGATCCTTCTCCTTCCAAAAAGAAGAAACAGAAAGATTGGACAGGAAACGCTGATCAGCAAGCGGTTCCGTCACAGAGTGATCCACCHCAATCTATTGCTAATGAACTAGATGCCGACATTCCGACTATCAAACCACAAATTTCGTCGTCCTCGGCCTCGTTCTTCGATGGAATTGGAAGCGGTTCGAACGACATGATCCCTTCGCCACCAGAGGATGGCGTCGCGAGTAATAAGGAACAAAGAGAACCAGAGCAAAAGCAGCAGATGCTACCGCTTGAAAACTCTCGACAGACACTTGGGCTACAGGATCAACGCCAAGATCCTCAAAACGAACGACGACTGTCAGTTGATAGTGATGAAGCTAACGACGAGAATTCAGGAGATAGCAAGAATCACGAACCCAGAAGTGGAAAAGGCATGAAGAAAGGAAAACGATTTAACTTGTTCAAGAAGAAAAAGAAAAGTGAGGAGAGTGACAGCATCACGAAGACCGCTGCTGACGAGAAATGGTTGAATGATTTGGTAAGTTTTTGTGTTTCTGATTTGTTACGTTTGTCAATGGTTTTTTTTATCAGACACTAATCTTCTACTCGTTTTTGTCGTTGTGAATACATTATAGGGTACACCTGTGGCCAATACAGAGTACACCACGATTGAATCGCTAAAAGCATCAAACAAAGGAAAAGATCCGATGGCCGACAAGTTCCGCGATGGAGTGGTTGGCCCAGGAAGTCCAACTGTGAGAAGCAACAACTCTAAATCTGCGAGGAATGGACTTTTGAACGTGAAAGGCAGTGAGCCCGCAAGGGCTCTCTCGATGGAATATTCACAAGACGAATCAACCATGGTTGGTGAAAAATCTGTCGGTGAGTACACTTTTGATTCTACACTACTGGGTCAAAACTTTGCGGCAGACTCTAAGTCCGTCTTGAGTGTCCCTGCAAAAGCAACTTTTGTGATGAAAGAACAAAAGAAGGAAGTGCCCGAAGATACGCAACACACTCGTGCATCCATCGGAGCGGGCTCATCGTATACGACTGCTGATGACGAATCAGTTCCTAGCGATGAAGCACTGTTTGCTGCTGGTTGGGCAAAGGCGTTAGATCCAAGTAGTGGTTACCACTACTACTTTACATTAGACAGGAAGCAAACCGTATGGGAGAATCCGCTTGCCGTTACCGATGGAGAGAGTTCGGTCGGGGAAATATAGGATCCTTTGACCAAAATTTTCGTGCGATTGCATTTTGAACCAATATTTCATAACCGCCCAGCTCATGCCGATAGCATTGGCATAATAACGATTAATGTGTAAAGTGATTTAGTACTACCGTTTTATTCAATACTGTTTCTCCGAAACTTCGCCTTCTACACATCCGTACATACTATTAGAATTACCAATACGTAACACTACACACTACTATTACGACAATTGATATGCACACATTTAACTGCAAGCTCGGGTGCGGGGGCTCTCCTTCGTTCTTCGCCCGAGATTTCAATGTTGAATAGAGGAAAATAGAGCTCTTTCCTGGTTTGCAACAAGCACTATCAATTGTGTTCTCTCCTAATTTCATCCAGCGCCTCTCTGAGAAAGGTACTCCTCAATCCATTACTTCCCTGCATGGAAGGATAGACTACCATACATGTGATAGCTCAGTATCTTCAATATATTGCTTCTCTTTCCCACTCCAGATATTGAAAGAMAGKCTTTGACTGCTGGGGTACTTTTGAGACAGGAAGGTTGTCATAAACCATGTCATGAATAATAAAAATACTAATCTAATGTACTGATAGAATTACTGATGCTCTTGGCCACAACCAGACGCTAGTAATGGTGTTCATGTCAAGGGACAGCCCAGAATTCTTTTATTACAAGACTAATGACAAGTTTACACAAMATGCAAAAAATGCATTAATGCACCACCAGTATTATGGTGGGAATCCCTTGATGGTGGAATTGAGCTAACAAGTGAATTAAATGTGGCTAAAGCCATCATATCCGTTCTTAATAAACACTGACTACTATGACTATGGGTATGAGGTGTGTTTTTGAACCATGGTTTTCAAATTGTTCTGATACTTGAATGGATGCTGGTGCTGGGCTAGTAGCCCTAATAATTTGTGGGCCAGAACTAGATGAAAATCAGACATAATGATTGAGTTACCAGTAGAAGAAGWAGTAGTAGTATCATTACTTGAGAATGCCAATTTTATCAATGATTAAATTCCACTCCTCACATTTTCAAAATGCCACCAGGAGCAAGAATTGTAAATCCCCTCTCTGAATGGTGGTTGACAAAAGGCTAGTAGAAGCACCACCAGTTGTAAAATATCTGATCTGATTGAACTGGTGTCTACACTTTGGAATGCTAATTTATTGCTGCTTTATAGTTGTGATGAAAAAAACTGCCTTTTTAGTACTATGTTCCACTCCTCCTGCACAAAATAAAAATTACAAGTTTAAGATAATAGTAGAAAATTCGTCGAACAAACAGTACTAAGCACAATATGCTACTACTAGTTCCAAAATGGTGACTTTCTGGTGGGAACCTACTAGTAGTAGTATAGGTCCCTCATAAAAGCATGAATTTGAATGTTCTACTGGTAGTCCTCTYATATTTGTCAAAACAATGATTTTGGGGGGGAAATGCTGCTACTGCAACTAGGAGGCAGGAGGAGTTATGAGGGCCAAGTCTGAACTGCACCAGCAGTYGTGGTAGTAGTTCCTTGGCTCCTTGTACTAGTGCATTCCTCCAGTTTACTACCTGTGGTGGCAAGTTGCTCTAAGGCAGGTGAATAGGTCTGTTCAGTATTTATTGATACTACAACAAAGAATGTCAGAACAATAGTAATTGATCTCCACACTAGTAATCCAYGGTTCCCATAAGCAATTCAATGATGCCATCATTAGCATCTACTACTAGTAGTAGAATATGGTAGTACAAAATCTAAAGAGGTAGTTTTCAAAAATAGTATGAYGATGCAGACCCAATTCTGCTTCTTTCTCAGCAGGCAGATCAAAAAATGCTGGTGAGCAACACTGCTCAGTAGAACTATATAGTATTTGGTGTATTGAAAATTTTTGCATCACTACTAGCCAAATTATCAATTACTAGTTAMATTAACAATTGGAACTACTGATTAGGAGTAGTGCCCCACTTATGGTAGTGGTACTACTAGATTGATTCAATGAGGATTTCATGTGGTTGCAATGAAATGTAAGAATCRTTGGGCATTAGGACAAAGGGTACCACCAAACAACAAGATTTCTTGTTGGCATTTCCTTGATTTGTGGATGAGGAATTCCTTTGTACTTTGGTGGGTGGATGGTAATTGTCACCACCTGGTGACAGTTTACCACCACCAGTGGTACAAGTAGTGGGCACCAGTAGTAGATAGTAGTAGATAGTAGGTAATAGTAGGTAGTAGTAGTAGATAGTAGGTAGTAGATTGTAGATAGTACTAGGTAGTAGATACTCCTACTAGTAGGTAATAGTAGATAGTAGGTAGTAGTAGAAGAACAAGAGGTTGATGTTGTGCTTTATTTCTACTGGTGGATTCTTGATCATTTCTAGATCTTGTAATGTAATTTCACTGTGGACAACTTTCTTGGCTCTTAAGTTCCATGGGTTTTCTGAACATACTGACAAAACTTATTTGTTACTACTACTTGTTGCAGAGCCAAAATCYATCTACAACCTCCAGGAAACACCTCTTCTCCTGAAAGAGAAAATTTTGTGCAGTACTGCCAGATCATGCTGAWTCTATTACCATTGCTGCTTGGGTCTATAAATTGATTTATGTGAACATAGTAAAAGGCTCCTGCTTTAGTACTAGTATGGAGCAATCTCAACCGACTGTACTATTAACTGCAACATATATTACTGGTGGTACTAGCAGCACTAGTACTAGCATCACTAGTAGTACTGGTGGTATCATGGGACCTCCCACAACTACTAGCRCTATTGTCAGAAGTAGTATTAATAAACTGTTTCTGTACTACCACTTTATATCTAACTTGCAATTTCTTGTCAGCATTGTGAACATAGAATTCCAGTAGTTATTTTYATGGAACTAAAGGGAAAGAATGGAGCATCCTTCAGAATTTGCAATGGGATAAGATGATAAAGTTTTTTGTACTTGAGGACTGTTTTGGATCAAATCACAATGATTGGCTGCTGCAGTTGCCATTCTTGGTGTGTAAGAAGTCAAGACACTAATGGTGGCATGAGTCTACACCACTGTATTGTGAGTCACAATAATACTGGTGGCCCTGAAATGGTTGCAGTCAGAATACATACAAACTAAAAGAGGAACTGGGGCATCATCTGGAAGCAAAACACAAGCAATTTGTGTACCTTGTGGTTGACATGGTTGTATGACTGGAAAAGGTCATCAAGAGAAGAAGGAGCATCCACCTCATGACTGATGTAAATTTGTTTCATATCGAAGTTTGCACTATTTTGAATTCAGAGTTGAAGTAATAGTGTAGGGTTTTGGTGATTGAAAAGCATTGAAAATTGATAATTTCTACAAAAGAAGCTTGGGGTATTTTGGATGTGCTATGAATATTGTTGTGTTCGTCTCATAGCTTATCTCTTCTTGAACTATTCGACAAACGGACCTATTTTGATCTTTTCAGTGATTGTGAAGTAGTTCACTGGTTCCGACAAGGCATCTACAGTGTTCCAAAAACATAAAATGAATTAAGACCTACAAATGATATCATAAACCTTTATGCTAATGTGCTCGCCATGTTTCAGTTTCTGAGGTCTAAATCTATCACAGTACTAACACTTTGTTCTGAAAAAATGAGTTTTCCTGGTGCGAAGCTGGGGACAATRTAACTCGGYCGGCTGCACAGGTGGACAGGTTCAGAGCTATCTTGTACAAGCGGTAACAATTGTTCCTCACGTCGTAATGCGTCCGACTTCTTCAAAAATATACGCGGCGATTCTTTCATTATGTAATGTTCGTGCAATCCACAAGACGAAATGATGTTCTTTCCGGATGACGATTCTCTCCGTTGATTGCACCTTGATGGCAATTGGGCCAGCAAGCAATCCATTCGRGAAGCTGTTAGATCCAACTGGCTTGATGACTGACTTACTCGCTCACCTACTCACTCACAATTCCTCGGATGCCACAGATGCTACAGATGCCACAGAAGATGCCGCAGCCTCGCCCGCTGCAAACCCTTGCTCGACCAGGGGCAWTTCCCTKAGTTGCGCGAGTTCCCGGGACAGGTCCAAGCCTTTCTGTAGCAAAAGGATACAGATACAGATCATGAGAAGGATCGAAAYGTTCATGAGCGGATCGTACAGCTGGGAAAGAGTGTCGGCCGGGACAGGATTGACGGCGGCCTCTTCCTCCACGGCGGTGCTCTCGTTTGCCAAATCAGAAGCAGGGCCTTCGTTACTATTGGATTGTTGTTGCTGAATTGGTTCTTTTTCGTCCTCCACCGTGGTTGGATCATTTTTGATATCGCTGTCGGTGGTTGCGGAGGCCGCTGCTTTCTCACCATCATCAGTTGCTTCCGCTAGCTCTGATAATTTGGTCTCGTCGTTTTKGCGAGTTGATCCCGAAGCATTGTCGTCGTCGGCTTTCTTTGCTTCCGCTGCTGTGCCCTTCTTTCGTCTACCTTCCGATGTCTGTTGCAGACGCTGCAGCTCGGCGATTTCTTTTGAAAAGGCGCTCTTCGACTTCTTCTTTTCGGGATCCAACTCGGGCAGAAGCTTGGCGMTTGGACCGCAGGTCGGACAAGACCAGGTCTGGGACAGCTTAGCCAGCCGCCTGCGTTCTTCTGGTGAGTAGTCGAGGGCGCCAATGGCGCCGTCCCCGGGGGTGGGGAGAAAACTAATAAGTGCCTCCAGAATCAGTCGGATCCCCCAGGCCGGCTGCCACAACTCCGGATGGAAGGCGCTGAAACTCAGACAAATCTTTGTGTTGGTCTCGAAGCGCCCCGAGGGGGTCAGAAACATGATATGGGGTGGTTTGTATGGGTATTCGGCTGGGAGCAAAATCCGTCCGTGGTAGATCCCACCCTCAAAGTCCGTACCTTCTGCACCCCGGATTGTAAAGTGCCATTCGAACATATCGTGCTCCAGCGGGGCCGCAAAATATTGGTCGGAGGGATCCAGCGCCAGTTCCCGGATGTCGGCTGTGGCAAAAAGAAGGATGGTAGGCGTCGAGTTGTCGGCATAACGTTAGGAAACCGATCCTGGACGGAACGTGTCAATGAAAACCACAAGCCATTTTCTGCGCGACGAAAACGCAGAGAAAAGGAATGATCCAACAAACGTACCCTGGATTCTTCGCAAAGATGGACTTTTGCTCATTTTGACAACTTTTTATTGGTTGATTGCTTCACTCCTGTCTCGTGTGGGATTTTTTCGCCTTAAAAACTTGTTGCCTTGTAGTTACTSTTGTGTATTGCTTCGAAAATCTGTTGTTCCGCACCTTGCAGGTTTTTTCTGCCGATCCTTCTGTTARTTTCTCAGTTCTTTCTTGTCTGGTTTTCTATCGACTATGATGGCCTGTTCTTGTCTCTGGGTGTAAAATATTGCTGATAGATTTCCCAGAGCGACAATGATGATGATTGTGATTTCTTATTTCTTTGGTCTTTTCTCTGTTGTTCCGATGAACTGGCTACGTAAAGGTACGAGTACATACAGTAGTACGCACATGGAAGAGCCTCCTAAAATTACCGTACCGTACTAAGAAGTACTTCTACTGGTTAGCGTGGTACCGTACGTAACGTACAGTTAAGATAAAAGGGGTTTTCTCTGTTTTCTTGATCTCGTTCTTCACAACTTGTCGACAGAATTATGTCTCGTCGTTCCTTCAATGCCACACCGAACGTCGTTCAAAATCGCTCCAATCAGCGAACGGAAACGCCAGGCTTCTTGATTGGGTTTATGGTTTTGTGTGCCCGGATTAATTTTTGCGCGAGTTTTGGGATTATGACACGTGTTGTTATTGAAATGTTGATTGTTGATTCATTCGACTCATGCTAATTGGTTCCCGCCACGACTAACCAAGTAACAAATGATGCACAAAACTCGAAAGTTTTGCAATCGTACGGTACGTACGTACTAACCCTGCGGTATGTATCGAACCTTCTTGGGCGATCCATCATTTTCCCTTGCCCCCCCGCGCACGCGCACCCCCTTCCCTTGACACGACGTGACTTGCGATACTGCACAATGGAGTGCGAATGCGAGTACGAGTACGTACCCTACGTACTCGTACTCGTACTCGTACCGTGACCTAGGGACGACACCAACAGAAAGGGCCTAGCTCTTTACTACTGTATTGTACTGTACTTCAACTCAGCGTTAAGCGCGATGACCATGATCGTTTCGAGCGTAGTACCGCACCGTACCTGGTGCTTGGTACGAGTTACCGTATGGTAGCGCTACCAGGTAACATTAATCAAGTCAAGATCAGAAAAACGAGAAGTGTTTTTCTCATTAGCCCTGTTGATTGTACGATGCCTCAACATCATGATTGGTGCAAACATTTGTACCGTTTCGAATGGGTCTCCAATCAGAAAGCGAATGGAAAGGAATTCACGTGCAAGTTCACAAGTACCATACCGTGCCGTATTYGCGAGAAGAGAGAACGACTTAAAATGGAACAGAAACACAGAACCGCTGGGGTTCGTGTTCTACCAACATCCATCCCCACTCAATCTCAATCTCCGCCGACAATTCCTCCATTCAAATCACAACATGGAAAATTCTTCGATGAAAAAGGCTTTCGAAGCTTGATCATTCCATAGAAACAAATACTTTCTCGTCTCATCTCCAGAAAATTTTCTGCTGCCATTTCTACAAAGGCAGGATTCAGGATGCAACGATGTCCTATTTCACGAAAGAACAAGAAGCGAAGGCCGTCGAGTTGATCCTCAAAGAATGTAATTTTTGCCCTCGGTATAAAGACGGAGACTCAAACAAGAGTGGAGGGGCAAATAACAGTCAAACCAGTATGGCCTATGTCGAACGAGACGAGAACGGATATGTCGTAGCCATGGTCGATCTCGGTCTGCACAAGGCAGTTACTCCCAAAATAGGTGAAAAGAACAACAAGAACAACGTTGACAGAATAATATTGGCGGCAACGGATACTTTGAGGTTAGGGAGCACAAGCCATTGGAGATTGCCGCCCTCCATCGGCTATCTCACACATCTCAAGAAGCTCACAGTCTATCACTGCAAGGGCCTTCCGSGAGAGATTGTCCATTTGGCCGGCTCTCTGGAAGAAATAGCCTTTCATTTTTGCGACGAGCTGGATTTTGAGAATGGGTTCCCGTGGTTGGAATTCCAGAGTCTCCACAAGCTAACGGACTTCCGCATCCATGGGAGGACGTCGTCTTCCTCGAGGGAAGCGAAGCGGATCCTGCCCATTCCGGGCCTCCGGGGTCTCCCCAACTTACGGTATCTCTACTATCGTGGTCCAAACTTTGGCTCTGGAGACGAGGAACACTCTTTGTGGAAGGACAAGAACGAAAATCAGCTTTCTAGGTCTCTGCTCGTGCAGGACTTGCTGCATCCTGGCGTCCGGTTCAAGAACTCCCTTGAGATCCTCGAGATCGAACGAGGCAATCTGACGGAAGTCGACGCAGCCGGCCTGGTGACAGATGTCTTGCCTCACTACCCCAAACTTCAGCGCTTGGTCTTGCCCAACAACCGGATTGCGTCACTGGAACTTATCCTAGCCAAGCAGTCACTGCCGATCCCTCCCTCGGTCCGGTTGCGCTGCCTAAATCTGCTCGGGAATCCGGTCCTGAATTCCAAAAAATGCAAAGATATTCGGCCCGAACGGAAGAACCTGCTGAGRCTCTTGTCCCTCCACGAAGAGATTACGAGCCTCGGGCACGGAATCACCGAATCTGCCCCGTGCACGACGAAGGTCTTGCTGGCACTAGGTACGTTTTGCAACTGTTTTGGTCTACCGGAACGCTACCTTTGTAAAATGGACCCTTCCAATTAATCCTGGTGCTGCGCACTGTGGTGCATATTCACAAACCAACACTTTGTGCTCAATTTTTCCTTTGTCCTTGATTTCTCTACGGTTATGAACAGATCGAAACGATGGTGGAGCAGTCTTGCTATCGAAACGCTTTCGATCCGTATCCCTTTCTGTTTGGCCAATCGTTCTGGAGAGAGCCAACCATCGAATTGGCTACCACGATTGTTCCAATGTACTCTACCATTTTCTCAGGAACGGGCCTGTCCTGGGACTGCAGAAGCGACAAAATAATCGGTCTTCTGCTGCCCAGAATGATTTAAAAGGAGACGATTTTGTCGGCATGATTCCACCGCCATCACCGATGAAGGGTGATACTCGGGTAATGCCGGTCCTTCGGACGCCGCTGTATTCCATCGCGACCTCCATTGTCACCCCTACCGATACTGAGACCACGAGCACCAGAAAGAGAAAAATTTCAATGCCCTAAACCAAATCACCGACTGGAGTAGGGGCTGACCTCACTTTGTTTCTTGCATTTCTGTTTCGCGTCAAGAGTTATTGTTCTGCGAGTCGCTGAGTCACACTCCTGCGCAAACGCTGCCGTTACGAAAAGAAGAAACGCATCTAAAAAAATCCAACAGAAGGCGATTATTTCATAAATGCATATTCGAGATACATTGAAAATTGGCTATGGTTGCTATACGGTTAACTTTGCCATTCCTTGGCTAATAGAAGTATTAAATTTTTAGGGTATCAATTCAACATCATCTTTATTGGAACAAAAGGAACAGGAACGGAACATGGCACTGCCRCCGATAATTTTGCATGCTAATAGTTAAATTCACATTGCACAGTTCTAGTTTATCCTACAAAGTAATGGTACTCAAAACTGGCCTATATATTGTTATAGGTCATTACATGTAAAAGCTGGCGGTATTATTCTTCCATAAAATTGTCTTCCACAAATTGTGCGCTTTCTGCAACCATCCACGCTGATTTTTCTATGTTCGTATGGCCGACTGTTTTTGTCTGAACTTGGCCTTCTGTTTCTGTTCCATTGTCTGATCTTGCCAACAGAACAGCTGTTGAGTATCGTAAAGTCGATGAACGATTTTCTCGATATTTCTCGAATCGGATCGGATTGAATAAAATAGTTTCGTATCGTGACGTTCCTTTCACCTCTTACTCTTCCGTTGCAACTGGTCCCCCGTTGCTTTTGGGAGCCCCGCTGGCAGCTGCACCCTCGGCCGCAGGCACAGTTTTTGGTTTCAGCAGAGGGTGTGCGGCTCGCTCCTTGTAGCCCTGGAGCGGCACGCCGTGTTTCTGCGAAAGCTTCTTGTCGTGTTTGATCATCACGTGGACCGAATCGTCGACGTGGCTGAGTCCGTGTTTGGAAGAATTGCAACCCATCTTGATGGCTTTGTTATYCTTGTGCTATWTTGTACAAAATGTCCTCGTTGCTCGGTTTYCTGTCTATTTTTTGATCAGCTGGCGGCCGTTCGTATTTTTGATCTCTTCGACTGCCTGTATTCCTTGACGTTCGTGGTCTATATCTATTTGTCCACTATCGCTAATAGGCGGRAAGCAAGTTTAGTATGGGATGAGAATGAAGACAAACTTGTCAGTTTTATGCGGCAAGTTCCAGTGCAGGCAAAAATGTTTGCTGTAACTTTCTTGTCTTGGTTTTGATGAAAAAATTGTGAACCGGGTCGCGAGTGAASGACAGAGTTCGTATTTCCTACCCGTATGTACCTCACTCGTACTCCAGCACAACATCAATATTATTTTTTACTACTGGTGCAAAATATTGTACGATAGTCAATGGCTAGAGCRATTAGCGTACGTACTGGACCTGTACAAAAATAAGAATGTCATCAATCATTGAAACCAGCAACACTCATCAGAGCTCGTGCTTTTCGTCACAATCACATAGAACAGAACAGTTTGGTTGACATGGGAACTTCTCCCTCTTTTCCGTTTGAATCAAGCGACGCATGATGCAGCTTGAAAAGGACATGTTTCTATTTTTACCGCTAATTCTAATGAYAAATTAGACCGGTTCTCTTCCCTAGTTCAAGCGAATAATTGGAAGTAAGAATTCTCAGCCAATCAGAGAGATAAATGACCAAAAACTGCTGCAATTTCGTTCGAAACAGCGGTGTCATAGGAATAAACCCTACTGATCCCAGGCATAAATATTCTTTTTTTTGCATTTTCACATTGTCAAGGCTTTTAAAAAAAATTGAAACTGAATCGTAACTCAAGCAGAACGAGTACGAGTATGGTTGATAGGTTTCGACCAACGAAAATTCATTGATTTTTCCGTCTCCCCCCCCCCCTCCCCCCTCGGGGCTGGGGACTGGGGTTGTTGTTGTTGTTGTTGCTGTCTGGCACAGATGCCAGAAACAACTTCAACACTGGAAGATACGGGATGGTGCTTCCAGGGAAACATGGGATCCACCAGGTGGTGGGGCAAGAGACTGCTACCATTAGCTTGGGACAGAGGAATTATAGTATCAATGGTGGACGAATACTAGTACTAGTACTACTAGTACTAGTACTAGTCTTGGTTAGGAGATTGGTTGAATGGAGGTCAGGGAGGTGGATTTTCCCCGCCTTTGGAAGGGGATGTCACCATGGTGTTCAGATGCCAGAAGGAGCTTGTCAGGTATGTAGTATGTACGTAGGAATCAGTAGGAAATCTACTAGGTTATAATTTTCAGAACAGTTTCATGCGTTTGAAAAAATTCTTAGTAGTAGTAGTAGTAGTAGTAGTAGTAGTAGTAGTAGTAGTAGTAGTAGTAGTAGTAGTAGTAGTAGTAGTAGTAGTAGTAGTAGTAGTAGTA